AGATTCTTTCGCTATCACTTAAATGCTATTTTTTATTTTTTTTTGCTAATTATAACTAAACAGGTATATATAAGTTAAATATACCGATTGAAAATGTAGTTTTTTTAAGAGGATTTTACCCAGTTTCTTACTCAATGACACATGAACGAGTTTGGAAAATTTTCGGGAAATTTTATCGGGTAAATATTAAGTTATGTGGGATTATAAAAAAAAACTAATCACAGGGCGTATCTTCACAGTACCTCCTTAAGAAATAAGTAAGTAATTGAATGAAATTGTTCGAAATTATTGATCTACTAGCGGCCGACTTCGTCCGAGTTATTTTTAGTTTTTTGAGAATCCCTTAGAAACATTTTTCCGGGATGAAGAATGTTCTATGTCTCAATTAGAAATGAAATTAATGGGAGAATTTTTTTATTACATAAAAATTAATAGTTGAATATTAATATCGCATAATTTCAATGGTTCAAAATATTGCAGTACCCTAAAACTGGGTTCTTGTTTGGAATGATATATATATTTCTTGTAACAGCATGTAAACAGCAAGAATGCAATTAATGAATATGAACATCAATTAATATTTTTATTCAAATACAATGTCCGAATATTTTTCACAAGTTGATTTATTGGCAATATTTTTATTACTTATTTCGGTCTGTGATTGAAATTATTCATTACGATAATTTTATCAGTCGGTTGGATTTATCTTTACGAATTAATATTACTCTCGCGTTAAAATCAACATGAATTGAAGGAATATGTTTTATTCGATATGGGTGAAAATATTTATTGAATATATTAACTTAACTTTTTTTATTAGTTTAATTTAACGGTTGTTCCACAACACTACGCATTCGCACGCACTCGTGTCAAAATCATGCAAATTAGCTCAATAGTTTTTGCATGTGTTTAATTGAAACATACAAACTTTCACATTTATAATTATTATGAAATAGTCCTAAAGGATCCTATCCGCCTTGGTACAGTCCTGCCTTAATAAAAATCAACAAAGAAAAGATATTAGTACATAGACGCTGGAAAGTATATGGTAACCCCAAGGACTATGACGAGTTCAAGTTACTTAGAGAACGACAGCATAGATTACAGAAAACTTATTTTAAGCATTTTATTGATTCATCTGAAAAACTCTTGAAAAAGTCACCCAAATAGTTTTGGAAGTATATCAAACGTAAAAGGAATACCAGAAGTTACCCTAAAACTTTTTGACATTCCAATTACTTTTATTCAAGTGGTGAGGATATATGCAGGGCCTTCAGTTAGTTCTTTGAAAGCGTTTTTGTGAGTTCAACTGAATCACTTCCTCCACTGCCTGAGGGAATTCCTTGTAGCGAGGAGCATCTTGCCCGGATCCATATAGACGAAAGTCGAGTTCTAAAGCTTCTGCAGTCTTTGGACGAAACTAAAGCTGCTGGATGTGATGGCGTGCCCCCAGTGCTGCTGGCATCTTGCGCGGAAAGTCTTTCTGCTCTTATCACCATGTTGTTTAATAGATTGCTTAAAGAGTGTGTTTTCCCTGATGTTTGGAAGCAGGCTTGCAATGTTTGGACGATTCAAAAGTTTTGTACTATACATCCAATTTGAATAAAGATATATTGATTTCTGATTTCTGAGGCCAGAATCGTGCCAGTGCATAAAAACGGGTCTAAGTCACTTATAGAGAATTATCGGCCAATTTCGATCCTCAACACAGTAAGTAAATTATTCAGAAGGTAGTGAGGTATTTCGCAGCATCAACATTGATTTTTGAGGCGCCGCTCAACTGTATCGAGCCTTTCACTGTTTTCATGCAACAATTCAATGAATTATGTTCTTAATAGAATGGACAAGGGTGGACAGGTTGACGTAATTTACATGGACTTTGAAAAAGCGTTTCACCGCGTACACCACGGTATCCTCATCCATAAACTTCAATGTCTCGGTATTCATGGTGACTTATTACGCTAGGTTCAATCTTACTTAACTAATAGGTCTCACATGCGTTCTTGGTGGATACAGTTCTGACTTTGTTACTATCCCTTCTGGAGTTCCACAGGGCTCGCATCTCGGTCCTCTGTTTTATAATGCGTATATCTTCGACATAGATAAGGTAATCAAGAACTCAAACCATCTTCTGTATGCTGACGATAAAAAGATATTCATGTGTGCGCGATGTTGCCGATTGCCAAAAGTTGCAGGACAATCTAACAATTATTACAACGAAAATAATAGAAAAATAAGTATTAGTAAATGTCAGTGCATAAGTTTTACCCGTAAACCTAATCCTAAAGTGTTCCCTTACAATTTCAATAATGTAACGATTGTGTGATGTGGTCCGTGATCTAGGAGTGTACTCTGACAGTAAAATAGTAATGTCTACACATATAGACACTATAGTGGGGAGAGCCTATCGCAACCTTGGTTTTGTTATGCATACCTGTCGTCCTTTCAATAGTCCCTTAAGTCTAAAAATTGTCTATTATGCGTACGTTCGGAGTCCCCATGCGACCCCAATATGGAGCCCATATTACAAAATCTATATTAATCGTATCGAAGGTATACAAAAGAAATTTGCACGCCACTTGAATTTTAGATTTCGAAAAGTTCATGTTATATCTACGTACGAGGGAATTTGCCGAGCGCACGACTTGCTTACCATGGAGGAGCGTCGTGAAGTCCTTGATATGGGTCTGTTGCATGATATCGTTGGTGGTGGCTTTGACTGTCTGTCTTTGTCTGTCCTGTACCAGGTCTTCCAATTTATTTTATGTCCCACATCATTATACTAAATATGATCAAAATGCTGTGCTTTCTCGTCTACCAAAAATCTATAACGTAAAATTTGGTGGTCGATCCTTTTGTCGGTTCAAAAAACAATTTCTAAACGAAGTGAAACAATTATTCTTTAAGAACTTTCAAACAGCAACATCCTCATGATCGTGGGTTTATGATCGTGAATTATAAGAACACTCACTATTGTATACATTAAAAATATGTACCTATATTTCACATATTGTATTATGCTTATTCAGTCCCCACTTAAAATAATTAACTATATAAATATGTATTGTATGTGTGTGTACCTCAATGTATATATACATATAAGCTGTGTACTGTCCCTTAAATAAATAAATTAGTAGGATAGGTGGATAAAGAGAAAGTTTATTTTATAGGGTGCCGTACCCAAAGGGTAAAAACGGGACCCTATTACTAAGACTCCACTGTTCGTCTGTCTGTCCATCTGTCCAGGCTGTATCTCTTGATCCGTTAGAGCTAGACAGTAAAAATTTCACACTAATTTTCTGTTGTCACTACATAACAAATACTAAAAATAGAATAAATACATATTGAATGGGGGCTCATACAACAAAAGTGTATTTTTGCACTATTTTAATAAGAGCAATATGTACATAGATGCTTGAAATATTTACCTATAGAATATTTAGTTGTATATTCACTTTAAAAATAATAATGATATTTAAGGATCTCATACAACAGACGTGATTTTTTTGCCTTTTTGCTAAATATTATTAATATAGTATTTAATGTTGTATAGCTAATGGTAGGGAGTATACGACTCGCTCTTAGCCGGTTTTTATTAAATTCTGTAGTCTGTTGTCTAAATATAAATTTTTAATCAATATAAAAAATGAAATAGGTACCAAAATTATAAAATTCCTAATAATAGTTTTTTTTTTTACTAATTAAATGTTTTTTTATCGTCATTATCATGTCAATGTTAAGTGTAATTTAATGCACGAATTTTTCATGAAATAGCTAGGTATTGTTATCGAATATTTATACAGACACATTGAAATACAAATTTGTAATTAAATTTCTTAAAATAACTTATTACACTTACATAATCAGGGTCAGTCATAACTTTTTTCTTTAGTAAAGTTCAATACATATTTAGTAAATGCCTTCTCTAAGTATTGTTTTTATGAATAGGTATATTTTTTTACTAAAACTGAGATCTGGAATGAGAATCGGTTTATTGCAATACTTACCTCCAAAAAAAGTTTTAGGTAGGTACATGTTACCAATTTTATCACGGGGTTAGTTATAAGTACAAAAGCTCTCTCTAATTGGATATTTGTACCCACCTGTACATACTTATTAGTAAACAAAGTGAATGTTAATGCAACTCGAACTACTGTAATCAAAATTTATCAGTACCTAATTTGCCGGTGACATTCAAGTGTGTGATACTCCAGATAAAAACTTATCTCATTATCGCGTAGGCAACTGTATCTCTCTATTGATTATTAAACGTTTTGTCACACTTATTTAGGACATACCTATTAATTAATAATTTATTACATCACAATTACTGAACTAATAAAATGTTTATACATTAAAAATATTTATTTCTTATAAACGGGTTTACAAATACTCTTGACAACGCAGCCTGTAAATAGTGCGAAACGTAGAGATATGTAAAAAGTATTAAAAATGCATTTTAAACCATTTGAAAAGTTGTTATGTATATCTAATGCATATAAAAAATAAGTGTCTATTGTTTTGGAATCTATAGGTATTTAGATGTTGTGTTTATTATCATGTTTTGTATTAAAATCACAACTTGGTGACGTTATCTAAGCTAATTTTACTTTTATTATGGGAAGTAAGTACCTACTTGTGCTAGGTACTCCAATAAAACGCCCAATTTATGAAAAGGGCTAGGGAGTGCCGGAGGCGAAGGGCTAGCCGCCTATGCATGGGGCGGCATTTTACCCTTGCTTCTTTGTTTTCGGCACACGAATTTTGGGTCGCAAGCTTACATTAAATGGTAAGGACAAGATTAAGGATCTTAGGATCTCATTAAGAAACCAAATAAATCCCCATAAATAAAAATTACACTATATTTGAGTATCTAATGAAAATTAAAAGAAATCAAAACAAAGAATTTACAAATGATGGACGCAGCGCAGTCTCCTATTTATGGATTTTAAATCTCGTTAAACAGTTACAAAAAGGTTTTGTATTGAGGTTCTACTTACAATAATTTGTCTGTTGTTCCTGAATGAGATCACATAGGACGCGAGCGGAGCGACTATCGGCGAGTCACTCTCGCGGTTGCACTGATACTGGCTGTGCTTCGTTTGGGTCGGGAGGCGCGAAACGAAATCGCGAGTGTGTTGACAAGCCGATTCAGAGATGCGCCGTACGCACGAATTCGTTTCGACTACCGCTCGCTCGCTCGCTACTCCCGCTTGTGCCGCTACGCGTGCCTTGTACACGCATGCGTGTTAAACTGTTTAAATCAGCTTCAAACAAACCAACGCAAGAATAAGAGAAGCCGCGTAAAACGAATGTCAGCCAAACCGACACTTTGATTTAATAGTTTTAATTTAAGGTTAAACATCGAAAACTGAGAACCGCATCAAGAAAGTGTTCAAGCAAGCATCGGTGGTTCAGTAAGTAGAAAGCTCGTCTGCCACCCGGCGGCCCGGGTTCGATTTCCAGCCGAGGAAGAACTTTTTTTATTTTCCAGTTTTTATAAGCCAGAGTAACCAAGTATATACCTGGCCTGCATTATCTCTTTTATACTTATATCCTATAATAAGTAATGTTTGCAATTAAGAGTGATAAACTTTTAGAGGACATGGACAAAATTGAGAATTCCATTTACACAGCCATAATAGGCGGGGTGCCGGTAATACTGAAAGTCCCGTCATAGCAGAATAAAAAAAAAATAAAAAATATAACATTAAGTATAGGAATTTATTGTAATTAATTATTTGCATGCAATTAAAAACTAATTTTAAACGATGCCAAAGAAGGATAACTTCTTACGCGCCTACATAAGTAGGCGCACCCATTTTTTTCTATATTTTTAAATAATGTTGATAGTGCAAGATTTGAATTATTCTTGAAATTTTTGAAGTTATACTTCTTTAGGCGCGTTATGAAAAAATTATGAGAGTGAAATTTTAAGATGCGCGCGCATCACTGTAACACAAAATTCTTCATGCGTTACTTTTGTGTTTACCGCACATTAAGAAAATCTACCAACAAAATAGAAATAGAATCTCTATTTAGTGGGTGCTAACGACTGCATTGTGAAGGCCTATCAAAAGTATTTATTAATCTGGAACAACGGAACCAAAGCGCGATTCAGGGGACTACAGCGCCATCTCTTGACCATTGGTGTAGTAGAACCAAAAACCACATCTTTATTTTTTGTAATAAAGTAACAGTTATAGGTATTCATATTTATAATATTTATCCACATGTTTCTAGTTTGTATAGTCGGAATACGTGTTTGAGTTTCATACAAGTGCAAATCACATATGTTCTAATAAATTATATTCAGTAGCGATTTTAATTGAATATTTTGATTATTTATTTATTTTTTCAAATTAAAACTGAACTTTATTGACTGTGTCCTTTTCCAGACTTTTTATTAATTTATTGTAATTAATTATTTGCATGCAATTAAAAACTAATTATAAACGATGCCAAAGAAGGATAACTTCTCACGCGCCTACATAAGTACACGCACCCATTTTTTTGCAAGCACCAGTGACAAAGAAGAGTTTTAGAAAGGTCTTATAAATTTCAATTCTAGCAATATTCCTCCATGCTGGAAAACTGTGTCACAAATTGTTTTACGCACCATATTTGAGGCGGTCAGTGCAAAAGTGGCGTAACCCTTAATTATTCATATTCTAATTAAACGGCTTTAGGCCACTTATGAAATTTACGTTGAGAAAAAAATCAATGCAAAAATAACTTTTGCAACGCCATCTATTGACGCCTGAATTGAATGACGATTTTGAACTAACACATTTTTATTTAATTGTAGAAGATGAACTAGAATATGAATAATTGAGGATTAGGCCACTTTTGCGCTGACAGTCTCATTTATAAATGCAATGTGGCAAAATGGCACTGAGCCAATTTGTATTTTATTTGAACCAAATGAATGTGGATGGCAACTGAACCAATAAAATAAGTTAGAACCATTGTGGTATAAAGGCCCAGCAACACATTCAAAAGTTGAAGAAATTCTTAGTGGCCAATTAAATGAAGAAGAAAGTGAAGAATCAGAATATGAAAACTGTTGTAATATAGAGGAAACTGATTTCGATGATTATTAATAAATATACTAAGTTTGAGAATAAACTCCTGTCAATTATTTCAATTATCTAAAATAAAAATTATCTTATTATTCCTTGAATCATATTAATCCTCATACTTACACACCACAAAAAACATAAAATAAATTTATTGAACATCGCACAGCGGGGGTCACGGGCGCGTGTACACTTCAAAAAATCTTTCCTGTGCAAGCGCTAGACGGGTGATTTTACGGGCCCATCCTGATTGGTCGTAGTATTTTACTATAACCAATTAGCATAGCGCTGCACTGGGTGCATTGAAATGAAATGAAATGAAATGAAATGTCATTTATTCAGTCTAGGCTGTTACAAGCACTTGTGAAGGTCAAGAAGCTACGCCATCGATTCGCAAAACTACGGCGGGAGACCTTGTACTGAGAAGAACCGGCAAGAAACTCAGCAAGGGCTGTTTTTTTCTCCCTGTATTGTTATATACAGTGTCGTCAAGTTGAAAAATGACTTCAGAAATACGTCTGAAGTCACTTTCCATTACATCATTTAGAATATAAATATATAGTTACAATTAATTTTATAGTAAACATTATATTTAGTATATAGGAAGCGGCATTAGACAGGTACAATATTACTGTTATGAAAAATGACTAATACCCATTTAATAACAAATTATAAGAAACACTATGTCCATGCATTACGACCATTTAGAGAATCATCAACTTTATAATAGCCCTTATTCATAAGAGTATATTTGATCTGAGATTTAAATTTAGTCAGTGGAAGCTCAATCAGATTGGGGGGGAACTTTATTAAACAATGCAATACTACAACCCAGAAATGAACCTCTTGATTTTTGGAATCTGAAACATGGAACGGCAAGCTTGTTCTTAAATATCGTGTTAAAGTTATGGGTTTGACTTTTTTTTGCAAATTCATCATAGTTTTTTCTTATATATATTAAATTTTCATAAATGTATTGCGACGCCAGTGTTAAAATATTAATTTCTTTAAATTTTTCTCTAAGGGATTCTCTTGCCTTTAAATTGTATATGGCGCGAACAGCTCTCTTTTGCAGTATGAAAATACTTTCGATATTAGCGGCTGAGCCCCACAACAAAATGCCATATGACATAACACTATGAAAGTAACCAAAGTAAACTAATCTTGCCGTTTCCACATCAGTTAAGAGTCTTATTTTTTTAACAGCGAAAGCTGCAGAGCTCAATCTACTTGACAAGGCATCAATATGAGGATCCCATTGCAGACGAGAGTCTAAAGTAATACCCAGAAACTTTGTAGAATCCACTAACTCTACCGGCTGGTCATTTATTTTTATACTAGTATTAACCTGCCTCACATTAGGTAGAGTAACCTTAACGCATTTTGTTTTACTGGAGTTAAGTTTTAAATTATTTACCGTAAACCAGTGAAGGACTTCAGAGAGAGCACAATTTACTTCGTCATAACAATCATTTCCTCTTCTAGCTTTAAACAATAAAGAGGTGTCATCAGCAAATAGTACTGTCTCACACAAATCTCTTGTAAAGTGAGGAAGGTCATTGATATAAATAAGGAAAAGCAATGGGCCTAATATTGAACCCTGGGGCACGCCCATAGAAATGGGTGCTCCTGTAGACTCAGCTTCATTTATAACTACTTTCTGAATCCTAGCAGAAAGATAAGACTGTATCAGACTTAGTGAAATATTTGATACACCATAATGCTTCATTTTATTTAACAATGTTTCATGGCTAACGCGGTCAAACGCCTTTGATAAGTCGCAAAAAATGCCAATAGCATCGTGCTTACTCCCCCATATATGAAAGATGTGTTTGAGAAGTGCAGTTCCAGCATCAGTAGTACTTTTGCCTCTAGTGAAACCAAACTGTTTTAAATGAAATAGCTTATTTCTATAGAAAAGTGTGCTAGTAATTGGTTATACATTATTTTCTCAAATACTTTACTTAGCGCTGGTAATACAGATATAGGCCTAAAATTGCTGGGATCTGATTTGTCACCAGCCTTAAACAGAGGGGTAACTTTAGCACATTTCATTAGATCTGGAAACACTCCCTCATCAATACATTTGTTAAATATAATGGCCAGTTGTGGCGCAATGACAGTGATAATCGGTTTTATTATATATGTTGATATCCCCCAATAATCCTCTGTCTTTTTAATTTTAATTGAATTAAAAGTTTTTATAATACAATCACTACTGATATGTCTAAAATGAAAATCATTACTGCACTTATCAACACTTGACTCAAGGAGGGTCATTGCTAACCTAGAATAAGAATTAAGATTTCTAGTTGTTTCAAATGGTGCACTAGAAAAGAAAATTTCAATAGTGTTTGCAACGGCATCATCTGTCCGAATAATCTTGTTGTCTATTTTTAAAGAATATGTGTGTTCATTATATTTATTTCTTCCAGTTTCATTATTAATTATATTCCAAGTTGTCTTTATTTTATTATCGGAAAGACTAATTAATATATATATATATATATATAAAAATTTAGACTTTGCTATGGCACACACCTTTTTAAAAGTTTTTGAATATTTTTTGACATATTCTATAAACTTAGGATCAAATGAGGTTGCCTTGAGAGCATATAATTGATACAACTTATTTCTACTTTTGTAAATACCCGGTGTGGCCCAATCACTAAATTTCTTTTTAAAGCTATGGCATTTAATATGTTTGCGTTTGAATATTATATTAAATTCATCTTTAATTAAATTGAATAAATCTTCATACAAATTATTATTATTATTACAAACTGGTAAGTACGATATTTTGTGATAAACGCTATCTTGAAATTTATTTATACCCGTTTGTGTAATTAGTCTACAAGTTAGGTCATGTTTGGGTGAAGCATGATGGTGTTCAATAGAGGCTAATTGTCCGCTATGATCAGAATTAATACAATTTATTATTGATTTATTAAAAAAAAATCTATTACAAAAAATATTATCTAAACATGTCGCTGATGCATGTGTGATGCGTGTAGG